TCTGGGAAAGGGATTCTGCCCTGCTCTGTAGTGCAGTACCAGGGCAGTGTGCCAGGGCCACTGTGCACTTACCTCCTAAGATACATCCATGCATCAAGTTCTTAAGAGGGGCTTTGTAACAATAGAGTCCCTTATTTATCACCACAAAAGATGTATTGGACCACAAATAAAATATAAAAATAAGCAAGGAGCATGGAAGCTTTCAATAAAATGATCCTCTTTGGCTGATTCCTTTCGGCCATTCCTTCTATATAACCAAAACCATTGAAGCTTCTAAATATAGTAAAAGAACTAGTGAATACTTAAAACATCATTATCATAGTTCTTTTGACATATGTAGTCAGAGATATATTCCTCCTTGTTCTACTAAGTAGCCTATACTAATCTGCTAAGTGAAGATTTAAGGACGAAACTTGAGTTGACCTCAAGATAACATTAAAAGAGAACTTTGAAAATATGCTACTTTATTCTGTCAGTACATCAGCAAAGACTAAAATCTCACTTACTGCCCTAGTATGTACCTGAACTTGCTTGTATGATCAGACCATCTTTTGTGACATTAGAGATGTGACTGACATTGAAAGCTACTTAGTAGAAACACCCAAGGGACTTTCACAGTTGTGACTGTATAAGCCCCATTTCTCACCCTGTTTTATCAGAATCTCTGGGAGTAGCACCTAGACATTGTTGGGAAAAAGTTACAGTGACATGGACAAGTCCTCAGCATGCCATTCAAGGAATAGGCTAGTACATATGCCAGTGTAGCCCAAATCCCACCAAGCTACAGGACCCTTGCTCTTGTCCCAATCCCCTCTCCCCAGACAACCATTGTGCTGATTGTTTTCTATCAAAGGTAAGTTTTATCTCATGTTAGGACTTTATAAGTGGACACTGGCATTTTTTTTTTACCACTATACTAACTGGCATTTTTAAAACACTTCCTAGGTGGTAAACATTCATGAAAGATATCTAAATTTGAGAAACACTTTGTTAAATGACAGATAAGATTCTCCTAGAATTTAAAAAAAAAAAAAAAAAGTGGGCTTGGGGATTTAGCTCAGCGGCATAAGCACCTGCCTTGCAGTCACATGGTCGTGAGTTCAATCCCTGGTACCGATTTAAAAGAAAAAAAAAAAGATTCTCCTGGAATATTATATGAAGGGCATATTTTGAGGACATTCTGGACAGTTTTTGTCAGAGCTGAGAAAGATAGGGTAGGGTTAGTCATGTTTCCTTTCACACTTCACTGAAATAGTCATTTTGCAGGGTTCACATGCTCACTGTTGTGGATAGTGCTGCAGAGCAAACCTGGAGGTGCTATAACTGAGCTGCATCCCCAGCCTGCATTCTTTTTTTAAAACTTTAGGACAGGAGCTTGCTGAGTTGCAGAAGAGAGATACTCGTAACAACTTGGCTTTGAGAAAATTTAAACATAATACAAAAATCAGATTTTTATTCTCTTATGTGCTGTGGGATTTTGTGAAACTAAGGTTCTCAGCATAAGCTATGTATACTAATAGCCTTCCCCCAAATAAACAAATGTTGCCATGTATGGTTACACTGTTAACAACTCATTTAAAAATACTTAAACATGGTGATATCCCTGTAACCCCAATACTCTGGGAGACTGAAGCAATCCAAGCCCAGCTTGGACAATTTAGCAACACTCTCTCACAAAATAAATAATGAGGCTCAGGTAATAGGATCACTATGAGTTTGAGACTCACCTGGGATACAAAGTGAATTCAAAGCCAGCGTGAACTGCATAATGAAACCCTGTCCCAAAAAGACAGTTAATCAAAAAGTGTTGGGGATATAGCTCAGTGTAAAGCAAACCTCAATAATTTCAAGAGTTAAAACAAAAGTTTAAGAGCATGTAATACTCACAATTGTGTATTCTTCATTGAAAGGAACAGGAACTGAAAGCAGACCTGTATTTAAACTAGATAATCAGAGGAGCAAATTGGTGCATGAGCTGCCTAAACCAAAGTACCATTTCCCTTACTGGTGTAGAGTATTTGAATATAGTGATATTAATTCAGTTTCTAGCAATGCATAATTTTGTCCACAGAGAAACATTGGATTTCTTTATTTTGAAAAACTCTAAAACCCAGAGGGTTTAAACTATGGGAATGAAGTACTTTATAGGTTTAAATAGAACACATACACAAAAATAAAATCCTATACATACATACAGTACATAGCAGTCTTGAGGTAGCAGCACAGGGTTTTGTGCTAGATACTATGTTAATAGCCAGTCGCTGGACACCCTCTCCTCTTGTCATTACTCCAGTAAGTACAGACAGCTGGGAGCTGAGCTTTGTGTTGTCCAGTTAAGTTTGAGTTACTCAAAAGAAGTTTATGAGAGCTGTGTATTCTTGCCCAGCTTAATACAATGAAGGACAAGCCATAATGTTTATTGAAGATTTAAATTATATGTCAGGCCCGGGGATTTAGCTCAGTGGTATAAGTGCTTGCCTGGCAAGTGTAAAGTTGTGAGTTTGATTCCCAGTACAAAATAAATAAATTATATGTCAGTACCACAGAAAGTGGGTTTTTTCTCCTCTGGATAATATAATATGTTACCTATTAATAGAATCATAACTCCACAAGACTTCTAGCCTGTAAATTGTTTTATCTGAATTTGTGTAAATTCATAATTTAATGATATTAATATTTGAGCATAGAAGTGTTTATATATACCCAAAGTGTTTTAAAGTTGACATGGTAGTAGGGTACATAGCTAGAAGTATTTGTTTTTATTCTTGCTATCTCTCTGTCTCTGTCTCTCTCAAGAAATGAAAGTGACCACTTCTGACTCTTACCTTTTCTCCATATCTGACAACTCATCAAACTACTTATTTTGCATAGAAAGCAATGTGTTGAAGGATGTCCAAGCTAGTAAGAACATTTGTCCAAAAGCTTTAATTAAAACACTCAGTGTACCTCATACCCACTGAGCTTTCCTTCTGTGCGACTCACAGGATGCAAAACAAAAGCATCATTCCCCACCATAAGCTGGTGTAGGGAGGAACCTGCTGATAGTCTGCAGATGCTCATGTGTATGGGAAGTACTGGGCATCTTATCAAAAACTAAGTGTTCTTAACACACAAACATGAGTATGTGAGGGTAATATAAAGGATAATTGATTCTGTTTAGCTATTCCACAATGCATACATATTTAAAAATGTGTACCATAAATAAATATAATTTTTATTTTGACAAAACACTTTAGTTAAAAAGAAAAAAATTGTGGGTTGGAGATTTAGCTTAGTGGTACAGTGTTTGCCTACTGTGTTCATAGTCCAGGGCTCCTTCATCTTGAAAACACTAACACAGACTACTGTAGAGACAAAATTATCAACTACAGCTCAGTGTTTAAAAGTCTTCATGTTTCTTAGCAGTGTATATGGTCAGATACGATGCTTATAAATTACTGTTATTCATTAACAATTCAGTTAAATTCTTTTTTCCTGATTGAGGAGTAAAAAGAGGGAGGAATTGGGCTGGGGATTTAGCTCAGTGGCATAAGCGCCTGCCTGGCAAGCAGGCAGTCGTGGGTTCAATCCCCGGTACTGATAAAAAGGGAAAAGACAAAAAAAAAAAAAAAAAAGAGGGAGGGATATAGAGACAGACAGACACAGAGCCCCAATGTTCTAAAGCACTGTAAACCTAGTATTACAGAAAATTTCCTGGTATTAGGAAATTACATTGCATTTTTAACTCCTAGCTTTGTCTGTAGAGCATCTAGAGCTATGCATAAAAGCCACCGAGAAATTAGCAAATAAAAAATCAACAAGCAGACCACAGCCCTGCCTCCTGAATTTTAGCTAGATGCTGAGTGAGATTTACCTGCATTTGAAAAAAGTTCTATCCATGCCTCTGGTATGGACAGGTTGAGAAAACTGCTCTATGATTGGCATTGAGAATCTTGATGCACAGGTCTTGGAGCTGAGTAAGAAGAAAAGCACTGCTTGTTTCTATGCATTGCTGTCTAGAATCTAGATGAAAGTGCATGTGGAAAGAAGGAAGCTAACACCCTAAACATGAAATAATATGGAATTATGTTCTGGATAATAAAATGATTTTTTGCTTTTTAGTCAGGTATTTTAATGTGGTATATATATGCAACCAATTTGTTTAAGCCTTAGCTAAAAATCCTGTTACATGAAAAATATTTGTTCTTTCCTATATTTAGTATATTAAAATGGTTTCCTGTGTATTAAGTTCTTTGGGCAGGAATTATTGGCTGTAAAATTAATTTATCCATTTAAATAATGGCCAGATCTACCCAGTTTCTTGGCAATATGTTTTAGCTACTTCAACTGTCTAGCATTTTGACTTTGATTTCACACTGTGGTAATGTCTTGACTTTGGCTAAGTAAATACAGACATTTTCCTTGTTCTCTAGCTATTTGGAAATGATATAAAAGGTTGATTCCTATTTTTTTGTAATTTTTTTTCCATAGAGATAAAGTGAAGGGTCTAATTAGCTTATAGGCCAAACTGATAGAAACAGGAATTATTACTGAGTAGACTGCAGTGTTTTAAAATGCAGATGTCAGTATGCAGCTGCACTGTGATACAGATTTTAAAAATAATCTTTTAAGAGTAATGTCATAGTGAAATTCTATATGCAATATTGTAAATATAAGATGTTCCTAGAGGACTTTAATCATTGATTTTTGGTTAAATAAATGACTCTTGGTTATATCTATTATTTTGTTCTAGCCAAAATTGTTTGATGTTTTAAAATACCAGGAAAAGAAAGATTTATCCAGCTAGAGGTCAATATTTTGTAAAGTATGTTAGGTATAACATCATGTTTTTCAACTCCTGCCTTGTAACTATTTTTGTTATGCAGAAAGCTAAGAGTTCTCTTTATCAAATGAGATGCATGTTTTAATCCTTGCACACTATAATCCTGTTTAAAGTTTTTACATGAATATGGACATATGAATGGTCAGACTTTATATTTGGCCTCTTCTTTCTTTAACAGAGCATTAAAAAGAAGAATACAAACAAACAGGAGATGGGCACATACCTGAGGTTCATTGTCTCCCGCATGAAAGAGAGGGTGAGTCCTGCTTATATAATCTTCTAGAATCTCCCAAAATGAGTTTTATTCTGGTTCATTCTTTTAAAGTTAATGGTTGAGAAGTAACAAATAGGATCAATACAGAGTTGTATTTCTTTTCTGCAATAAATAGTTTTATACTAGGCTAGATATTTTTGTCTTTTTTTGCACAAGCATTTTGTTGCTACTGTAAATTAGAAATATTTAAAAATCATATTAAAATGAACATTTTCATTGATGATTATTGATATTTAAAATGAAATTGGACTTTTTAAAATAACTTTGTTTCAGTCAAAGCTTTGAGAAATGTTACATGAAACTGGATAATATATATGCATTTTTTTCATTAATTTTTAAAGTATTTCTTGTGTAAGATTTTTCTTTAAAGGTAAAAAATTATTTTGTTTTCCCTGTCTCTCTTTAGCCACATTTAAAACTGATGTATCTAACAACCTTTCAGGCTATAGATCTTAATAAGAAGGGGAAGGACAATAAACATCCAATGTACAGGAGACTGGTGCATTCAGCTGTTGATGTCCCCACCATACAAGAGGTATACTGGTTTCACTTCAAATACATTTTCTCAATTAACAAAATAATTTATAGTTAAACAGTGCTGGTTCTGGTTGCTCTTCTTTCCATGACAATGAGTTTTGTTTACTTTCTTACTAAAGAAAGAAAAGATATAATGACCAAATGAAGCTTGGTCACCCAAATGTGACTTGGAAATGTCATGTGCTCACTCTAAGGCAGATTTGATGTCATATTTTAAAAGATGTGTTTTGAACAATTTATACCTTCTTGGTACTTGTTGATTAAAGAAAATGTATTGTGGCCTGGGCAACTGACTATTTCATATATAAACTATTCATTTCTGGACATGGCTTTCTAGTTTTTGTTTATAGGAGCTTCACTCTGATAAAATTTAGAATATAGAACTAATTAAAATCTTGGGAAACTGAACAACATAAGGATTATGCCTAGAAAACTTCATTATTCTTAAAATTCTTGATTTTAACTACCACAGCTGAGGATTTTTAATGAATTTTTTAATATTCAATTATAAATTATAGTAAATGCAGAACATACAGGCATGTTTAGTCAGGATTGCAGAATTACCAACTTTCTGTTACCTGTGACTTGTTGAGAATTTAAAAATCTTATGGCTGGTCATGATTAAATAATAAGTTTAAATAATACCCACAGGAATAATTTAAAATCATCTTACAAATTTCCTCATCCTCTTAGGAGATGAGAAAGGCTAGCAGTTCTTGTGTTGATGTAAGGATAAATGAAAGTTTTTCACTCAAAGTGGCTGACAAATTCTAGGACAGAAAACAAAGTAATTTGAACTTTTTCTCCTTTCAGATTTCCTAGTCTGAGGCATAGCTCTTTCTCCTACACTGTGAGGCATGTAAAAGACACTTAAGCACCCAGCACACCTTCCCTTTGCTCACACATTTTCTTTCTATTGAAATCCCTGAAGACCCAATTCAGTGGCTGTTTCTTCCCAGAAGGCTTCCCAGATTCATGCAGCCTGATCCCTGTGGACCTGGGCTGATGCTCCCTGGTTGGTGTCCTGGCCTTTTGTTTTAACAAGTGTGATGATGAGCAAAAGTACAAAAATTAATAGGAAGACAAAATTTTTTATGACTTTATCAGTTTATAATCCAGACCAATCTAGGAAGCAGGTAACTCCACCTGGGAGAAGAGATGACAGTTGTACCAGGTCTGGGAAGATTTCCCCAGGAGGAAGCTACATGACGATGAAAGGGGATGAAAGGAGAACCTGAGTTCCAGGATTTTCATGCCAGTTTCCTGAATATATCCTTACGACCTCTATATAACTTTACCATACCTATCCCCTCTCAAAAACACCTGTTTTTCTCTGTACTCCTCCTCTTTGGCAGCTAAAGGCAAAACTATGAGAATCCGCTGAAGGGGGATATCCTTTTACATATGTCACTAATAAGAGAAACCCTTGAGTTGGCCTGGGTGGTTAGAGCAACACCTAACATTGATATTTCATTTTTAAATTACTTAATTCATTATATAGTCCTAATCTGGAATTCTTCACATATCTTAGTAGGAATGGTAAGCTGTCATAGAGGCCATCAGTTCTGTTTTCCAGTGTTTACTCCCTTGTTAGGATGGTGAGCATGTGGTCAGGGCCTCACCAGTTACATTGGCCAGGTCACCCATTTATGAAGCTTAGCGGCAGCTTTGATTGTTACTACAAAATGAGACGGTGGAACTGTGAAATTTATTCAGGGAAGGTAACTTAGAGCACACAGTGGTTGCAGGAGTATCTCATCTGCTACACTTTGTCTTGCTGTAACACTGAAGTTACAAAGCAAACAGTGATTCCTTTCACACGTGGTCCCTATTGCCAATACAGGACAACAAGAGTAGTCCTAATGTCCTCCTGGAAGAATTATGCCATGTCCTCTAGTTCTGTGAATAAAATCCAGACAAATAGTCTCACTAGTAACTCTTTTGCCATTTTGTCTTTTGCCACCTACAGAAAGTGAATGAGGGGAAATATCGAAGTTATGAAGAATTCAAAGCTGACGCCCAACTGCTTCTCCACAACACAGTGATTTTCTATGGAGGTTGAATGCATTTTATTTTGTGTGCATTTTTAAATGCGATTTATTTTTCATGTTGAGAAATATGTTTTATAAGACATTACATTTAAAAAATTAATACCTCAGTGTTACCTTACCTGTACATAGAAGTAAAGTTAGAATTTTCAAATTTCTGATGATATGGCTAATAAAGTTGACTGGCCAGTGGCCAAACTGTGGTATCCAAACTGATGAAACTATAACTTTATGATTTTGCATGTATTTGTCTTAGCTGAGTGGCTTTTTATAGCACTTTGATTAATTCTGATGTTTCCCTGTTAATAGCCCATCATTCAAAAATAAGAAGTGGGCCAGGGATTTAGCAAAGTGGTATATGAACCTGCCTGACAGGTACAAGGCTGTGAGTTTGATCCCTGGTACCAAAGGAAAAAAAGGCAGTAGGTTACTGTGTAGCTATAAAATTAGTGGTAGTATTGAATATAAAATAGTAGCTGCCTATAGAATTTAATTTTGCTGCCTGACCTTTATTTAAAATACATGTTTGGTTCAAAATAGTATATGCTTACTTTTGCTAAAAAAATACATAAAGTCATTGTATTAATTTCGATAGTCATATTTCTAGATCATTGATTGTAGGTTTATTCATCTTTAATTACAGCAGACAGTGAGCAAGCTGACATTGCAAGGATGTTATATAAAGACACGTGTCATGAGGTACTGTTCATACTCTTGCTGTCATCCACAGTTATTTCAGGATTGCACTCTCTCGTCTGCATTTTAACTGTGCCATATCCCTTAAATATAACTTCATTTTCATGTTTGATATATATGGGAAATAATGCAAGGGGGAAGAAAAAATTCTGACTAAAACATTCAAAGAGAAATCCTAGGAGTGAGACTTAGTAAGTGAATTTTCAACTGCCTTCCAGAACATTGTATTGGTGAAACAATGTGTGTGAGTATGTGGCACTAGGCAGATGATGACTGCTACCTTGTAAATGAATGGTTCACATATGCCTCCCTACCAGCCTACATAGACAAATCAAAACCCACTGAAAAACACAAATCCAACCAAAGAATAAAGTGTGCGTTTATATAATAAATGTTTCTGTGGTCTTTTTTATGTGAAGCACTTGCCTATAACTACTATCATTGCCAAAGTTCCTCAGTTTACCTAAAAAGTTTTATCTCTTCATTTTAAATTTGACCTTTGCTTTTTTATTTGTTCAACAAATATTTATTGAACAGCAACCATGTGCCAGGCAGTGTGTTCAGGAGTCAAGAGTATAGACTTCCTCTTCCTGAAGCTGCTTTCTGCAAAGACAGAAAAGGAAAACACATAAAGTGTGTCCCTTCCCCTTGTGAAGAGAATGTCATGAAAGGGTGCAGGGGACTAAAGTGGAGGGAGAGGCAGATTGAGGACTGCTGCTACCAGTAGCGCATGTTTCATGTGTGCTTATCTGGAAGGCTTTTCTGAAGAAATGCTGTTTAGTCTGAGCACTGACTCGTCAGATGGGAGCAGGGTAGAGCACAGAGGCACACTGTGCCAAGCATCATAGCATTGATCTTCTATTCCATTTGCCATCTGACACTATGGAGAGCATTCTGGTAGACACTGACAGGGTCTTCCAGGATTGCTTACTGAAAAATTTAATAGATTCTACAAGAAGCAAAATTCAGTACTACTGATGTACTTAAATGAGAATATTTATGTGAAAATGTACGTTTTAATGTACATATATGTATTATATATATATACTTATTACATATGTTTAAATAGTTGCTTTCCTTTTCAGCTTGATGAACTACAACTTTGCAAAAACTGCTTCTATTTGTCAAATGCTCGTCCAGACAATTGGTTCTGCTATCCTTGTGTATGTACAATTTTTTTTATCTTGTTCTCACCCAAGTAACATACCACTTTAGGGAAGTTTATTCCCAACTCATTTAAATATCATAATTTTTCCATAATATTATTCATTATATCATATCGTGTTTTTAATTAGTATGAACATCTGAAACATGGGGAAAATAATGGAGATCATTATTTATTTTTGAATTTTAAAATAAACTACTTAATAAAACTAAATATTGGATCCCTTAATAGATATGGTAGTAAAGTGAACTTTTGCTTTTCCTTTTGTTCTTTGATAAGAGATCTTAGGCTTTGTATGTCTGTAGCTATGTAATTTCCCTAAAATAATGTGATTTCAAGAAGGGTACTCAGGGGCTGGGATTTAGCTCAGCGGCATAAGTGCCTGCCTTGCAAGCAGGCAGTCATAAGTTCGATCCCCGGTACCGGTAAAAATGAAAAAGACAAAAAAAAAAAAAAAAGGGTGCTCACAGAAACCCTGTTTCTTTTTTTTTTTTTTTTTTTTTTTTTGTCTTTTTCGGTACCAGGGATCGAACTCATGACTGCCTGCTTGCAAGGCAGGCGCTTATGCCGCTGAGCTAAATCACCAGCCCCACAGAAACCCTCTTGAATGCAGGTGTTGTGGCACATACCTGTAATCCCAGCACTTGGGAGGCTGAGACAGGAGGATCACCATAAGTTCAAGGCCAGCCTGGGCTACATAGTGGATTCAAGAGTTACTAAGACCCTATCAAAAAACAGAAACAAACAAAAAAACCTTCTTGAGTGTTTTAGGTCAGCAGCTCCAATGAGGAAAAGCCAGATTTGTCAGTCTGCTGTGCAGATCTGATACTTGTGGACCTGATAGCCTGTGGAAGCTTAAACTTGCACTTATCTCACAAATCCTAGGCAAAGTTGATGCTGTTGGGTCCAGCACAGCACTCTTTGAAGCAAAGTGGTGACAATCTGCTTACCACACGGCCTTAGCTTCAGAAGGGGCCTCAGTCTTCTGCAAAATAAGGTTTATAATTGCTGGTCTTACACAGGATATAAATTTCAGGTGTTTCTCTTGAAGATAAAACAACAAAAATAAATAAGAACTGTAGCCTTCTATGTGTTTAGGAGTTACAAAAACATTTTCAAAATAATGGATTGTACCTTTTGTACCTGACCAAGCAGTTCAATATTAGTGGTATACTTGCATTTAATACTGTATTGTGACAAAGTAAACATTTTATTTGCAGATACCTAATCATGAGCTGGTTTGGGCTAAAATGAAAGGTTTTGGGTTTTGGCCAGCCAAAGTCATGCAGAAAGAGGACAATCAAGTTGATGTTCGCTTCTTTGGCCACCACCACCAGAGGTAATTCATGCAGCCATGTGCAATGATCATAGCTGTGCTTTTGTGAACTACTTAAAAAAGTTTGACAGCTTGTCCACTAGAAACAATAGGGAGTTCATTTTAAATTGAAAAACCAGGGCTGGGGATTTAGCTCAGTGGTATGAGCACCTGTCTGGCAAGTGCAAGGTCATGAGTTCGATCCCCGGTACCAAAAAAAAAAAACTACATGTAAAATGAAAAAACAAAATCAGCATATGACAAAAAATAAAATGCAGCTAATAATGTTTGGTATAAACTATGTTTCTGGATATCTTCCAGATACCATTTGCTAAATAAGACATTTTCAGTAGCTGATGCTCTTAATCCTCAAATTCATATTAAACCTGAGATTAAATTCATAATACATTGGGATGGAAGGAGTAAATCCATTTCATAATATTATAAAGCTATCACCATTGTTCCATCCATCTTCAAGACTGTTAAAGCCCAGAAGGAAAAGTAATCAATTTGAGATTAGAAGAGACAGCCAATCTTACGCTCTACGAATATTCACAAATACATTTAATGCCTAAGAATTAAATGCATGCAACTAAAAAACATTGCTTCTAATCTGGGTTTTAAATTCTCTACTGCATGCATTGTTATTAACCACTATTACTCTGCTATTGCATTGTTTTGAATTTTTTTTTCTCTTTAGAATTAAAAAAAATTCTATTGCTACAGAAATCTTTAAAATTTAAATATTCACAATGTAAGAATATATGGATTCCCAGAATAGAAACCATTTTATTACTGTAAAATTAATGTCTCACACCAAGAGCGCTAAGCTATAGGACTATAAAACCAGAATAACTCTTCCATTGTGAATTAAGGCCTTAACATTATTCAACATTGAAATTAAGCTAAGGTAGTATCATAATAATGTTGCTAATAACAGTAAGTATGAATTTGGGTAAACTATCATAAAACTCAGAAAATAATGAGTCTAATAAAGGCAAAAAAGGGATCAGTAATGTGGTTCGTTTCACATAAATATCAAAAAAAAAAAAAAGGAAAAAATAATAAAAGTAAGCTACCTGATCTCAAAGTTATACTTTGCAAGGATTTAAATTGAGAGTCTGTAAATGTCCTCTGTCATGCTAGGAAGACAGTAGGCACAGGTCAGTATAGTAAGACAAGCTGCGGTGAACTTTTACATAGTCTTCATTTAACTGAAATAAAAATGAGTCTAATAGTGCCTAGAACATGTGACTAGTACTTTAAATTTCTATGTTCCTTCTTAGATAAACACACACTTAGCTGACACTATCACATCAGAAAACATTAATGACAATAAAATAACTCAACAGAAGATTAATTTACTACTAACATTTTTAACATTATATGTTTAATACATCTTACTCACTTGAATTCATGTTGACAGGCAGTGGTGCTGAGGGTTGTGGAAGTGTACTCAGTGGTACTCTATAAAACTGCAGTTGTCTACATTAATGGAATTGATTTTTAAAAAAAACAGTAGAAATGTGTTATAAACTGTTCTGACACTTAAGTGAATCAGCCCAGCATGGTGGCACACACCTATAATACCAGCACTGGGGAGACTGAAGCAAGAGGATTGCCAAGTTCAAGGCCAGCTGAGAGAGGTTATGCAGTGAGCTTAAGGCCAGCTTGATCTATACAGCAATATTTTATTTCCAAAAAATCAAAGGAAGGAAAAAGAATACATTTTGTTATATTCAAGAAATGGTTTAAGAAAGAAAATACTCTTAAAAGATACAAGTTTTTTTCGAGGCAGTTAGCCCTGTCTGAAAAGCAATCTATTTTTAAAAGGTTAACAAAAAATACTTTTATTGATTACCTGCTACATAGAGGGATCTCAAAAAATACGTTGATTGAAAGACTTAAGTTTAATACTAATTCAAAACCTAATGGCAAGGAACTCTTCCATGAGCATAATTTCATCTGCACTCTACGTTAGGGCTTTTCAAAGTGCACATACTTCATCAAGGTTTTTAATAAAGCACTTAAACCAGTAAGCTAGTGTTGACATATCATGTATAAATATTTGTAATATTTAAAATTTTATAGGAGTTGAAATTTAATAATTTTAGCCATTGTTAGTATTTACTGTTATACCATATATATTTTAAATGTATTTTTAAATAATAAAGCACAAGGTTTAGGTTATACAAACATGTTAGATATCTTTATTTATGGCTGTGGCACACTTGGCCATGATTCTCTTAATATTTTTCCCTAAAAAAAGTCTCAATATTTCTGGACCTCTAATATTAAAGACCTAGAATGAAAATTATAACATCTTATATATTTGTAAGGGAGATTAACTGAAAAGAGTCTTTGTCCATAGTGTCATATCCAGAACCTTATTCTGTGAACTAGAAAAGGTTTGATGGGCATTCATGTGTCTTTAGAGTTCCTGTCTCATCTGTGATGCTGTGTTTTTCCCTCTGTGTCCCCTAAGTCTTATTCATACAATCGTCTGACTTCTCGCAGTCAAATGTCAACCACCCCCACCCAGCCACCCACCCACAGTGCCTCAGAATACCTTGACCTTATGCTGTGTTGTATCACAGTGATTTCTCAGTTTCCTAAAGGCAGAGATAAGTGCCATCCTGGTAAAAAGGAGACCTCACTGGATTCCAGCCACTAATTAATAGTTTACATTTAGCCCCCTGGGCAACATCTTCTCCAGCAGTCAGGCAAGGCAGCCAAACCCATGGTCACCAAGTCTGCTCAGGGTGCTTTGTAGTGTCTTCCACTGGTGTACACAGGCATTTGTCAAATTAATACAACAGTCTAGATGCATAGTAATTTAAAGCCAGTCAAGAGATTAATGCCCAGGAAAAATTTCTTGAATTTTGAGCGTTCTTCCACAACATACCAAATACTGTTTTCTCTATTTTTGGATCTCTATGATACATAACTCAGAGATGCTTAATGTTCTTTCATAGCTGAGTACACTGTTTCTAAATGTAAAGTTTCCCCTTTGTTAACCCAGTTTATCTAATGCACAGGAACATAACATAAACACAACTTACCAAGTAATATTTTTAGGTACCCTTGTTTTATATGGATACATATATGTGTTTCATGAAAATTTCTGAACATTTTAAAATGATTTTGTAGTGCTGACCTGCAAATAACTGTGTAAGCCCTACTAGTTTTACAGTATTCAAAATGGTAAGAAGTAACATTTTTAAAGGATTTATAAAGAATGTTGATATGAACTCTGGCAGTCTCAACTAAACAAATAGCAGTTAGAAGGTTTCAGAAGATCTTTCCAATTCTGAGAATTTTACTTTGATGCATGTAAAAATCAGTAAAACACCTCATCTATTTTGTTTTTGGTTAGAGTTTGTTTATGAAGCCCTCATTAGTAGCCTTAGTAAATTAGAGGTGCCATAAATTGTATTTTACAATGGGTACAGGCCACCAACTTCTCTCAATACTGATATCCCTATTTTGAATGTTTCTGCCTATACCTTCAAATGCTTTTCATAGAGCCTGGATTCCTTCTGAAAACATTCAAGACATCACAGTCAACATTCACCGGCTGCATGTGAAACGCAGTATGGGATGGAAAAAGGCATGTGATGAGCTAGAACTGCACCAGCGTTTCCTTCGTGAAGGAAGATTTTGGAAGTCTAAGAATGAGGACCGAGGCGAGGAAGAGGCAGAATCCAGTATCTCCTCTACCAGTAACGAGCAGGTGAGCTGTGTCTTGGGAAAGAACTGCACATCAGTTCTTATTTTTAAATGTGAGGTCTCAGTGTACACTCTTCACTGTAAAACATAAATTTGTGACATATTCCTTTCCCTTTCAAACATTGGTACTCTGCTCAAGTAAACCCAAGCTGGTTGAAATGAATAAGTAGATATAAGCAAACGTAAACCTGACTTGGGAGTGTGAAGACTTAAGAGCACTGCTCCTCAGTGAAGGTACAAAGGCTTTCGTAAGCCTCGGTTATCAGAATCGTAGCTGAACAAATGGTACCTGAGTGGATGGAAGGAGCAGGAGCGTATGTGTGTCCACCAGCAGTATTTGGAACAGAGAGGTATCTCCTAGACTCGGGAATAATATGATACTACTTTTATAATGCCCACAGCTGAAGGTCACTCAAGAACCAAGGGCAAAGAAAGGACGACGTAATCAAAGTGTGGAACCCAAAAAGGAAGTAAGTTGCCCTCCTTGCAGTGTCCAGGTGGCTGTTGAAAGAGGAAATGCTCACGAAGTACGGTCGACACCCCCTCCTGCTGCCATCAGTAAAATCACATCTATCAAGTTTGTCCTCTTAGGCCGGGTGTGTGGTACACACCTGTAATCCCAGCACTTGGGAGGCTGACGCCAGAGGATTGCTGTGAGTTTGAGGCCCACCTGGGCTGCAAAGTGAATTCAAGGCCTGCCTGAACTGCATAGTGAAACTCTGTCTCAAAATGAGCCCGCCACAGAAAAAGTTTGCTTTCAGTCTTCTGACTCCTGTCATTATCTCCTGCTGCTAGACTCGCACACACAGGCTCAAACTCTGTCCTAGTTAAGTAGCCACTGAACAGAGTTGGCAAAGTAGGAAAGGTACATTGCTGGGTACCTGAAATTTTGTCGTAGCATTATTAAAATTAAAACATTTATCTGGTAAATCAATTATGTTAGCACTTAAAAACTGAAGGAGACTATGGTAAAACTCAGCATAGTTTTGACCTATATAAACCAGGCATGTTTTGAAACTGTAACTCTGAGTACATTTGAAACACATGTAGTAAGAAATGGTTTAGGATTGTAGGAAATTTGATAGTCTTGTTCAAAGAAATGATTATAAATTGATAATGATATTTATATTCTGACAAAATTTAAAAGCAAACTCATACTACTTATAGGTAATGAAATTATAAATGAAGTTGTTGCGTATTAGTGTAACCATTAATTCTATATGTTTTTATTCACTAGCTGGTTGGGGGATTTACTTAATTTAACTGTGATGTATGTAACAAGACAGCATCTTAATTATGTTTCAAATAGCAGGCTATTAAATAGATATCACTGAAATTTTATCCTAATAGAGTTGTTCTTGAATTAGTAAATTATCGTGCTTTGTTTTGCACCTAATCAGTTTTCTTCCCCCTTAGGAACCAGAGCCTGAAACGGAAGCAGTAAGTTCTAGCCAGGAAATCCCCACAATGCCTCAGCCAATTGAGAAGGTGTCAGTATCCACGCAGACTAAGAAGTTAAGTGCCTCTTCCCCTAGAATGCTGCATCGGAGCACCCAGACCGCCAGCGATGGGGTCTGTCAGAGCATGTGCCATGACAAATACACCAAAATTTTCAATGACTTTAAAGATCGGATGAAGTCAGACCACAAGCGAGAGACAGAGAGAGTTGTCCGGGAAGCTCTAGAAAAGGTAAAGCTGGTCCTGGCCACTGGTATCCGCATCCTTGAGCCTTCCTTCCCCACAGCACTGGCAACTGTGACTTAGCCTCTGCCAGGCAGTGGCCATTCTAAGTTAGGAATACAACAATTAGTAATATAATCATTTAATTGGTAATATTTTTTTGCCAAAATTCTTTGTGCATTGTAAGGGGGAAAGGTCTATCATTTTCATAGAATCTGTTACTAAGTTTTGTTTAAGCACATGGTCCATGTAAAGCACTGTGGGTTAACTTCTTTTTGCAGCTGCGTTCTGAAATGGAAGAAGAAAAAAGACAAGCTGTAAGTAAAGCTGTAGCCAACATGCAGGGTGAGATGGACAGAAAATGTAAGCAAGTAAAGGAAAAGTGTAAAGAAGAATTTGTAGAAGAAATCAAGAAGCTAGCCACCCAGCACAAACAACTAATATCTCAGACCAAGAAGAAACAGTGGGTAAATATCACTGTCTTTTTTAGTTTTATTTCTGAAAATGTCAGATATTATAGAAATTAATGCAGACGTATATGTATATGAGATACATAAAAATTATTCCTAAAATAAGGGCAATTATGAAATTGTCGGCTGTTTCATATTATTTATTGAAAATCCTATAGTAGATCCCCAGTCACTGAATGTTGCTTAGGATTATTTTGTAAAGGTGAGATAATACTTCAGTACAATTAATTGATCCAACTTCTCCATCTATTGCAGATACCTTGTTTAGGCAAATTGGCCTCAACTTTTACCTGATGATTTCCAATAAGTAAAATCCAAATTGTGAAATTGTAAATATATTTTATAATTAACAAATTAGAGATTTCAGATTTCCCTCCTCCTAACATTTATGTATTCCTTTAAAGAAATCAATAACTTTTATCTTTAACTACACTCCTTGATCTCTAACTAAACTCCTTTAAACCTGAATAAAGTGTTCTCTGTAAGTGTTGTCCTCCCCCCGGGGTGGGAGCTCTGCCTTACTCCATGATCTGTGTGTGGGGTGCACTCCAAGCTCAATGTGGGAATTTTAATGATTTTCTGTATAACATGAAACAGTAATTTAATTCTTCATTTTACCTGCCTACAATACATTTGTATTTTTCATGAAAGAAGAAAACATTTTAAAAATTATAATAAAGATTGTGGCTGGGTATGGTAGTACATGCCTATAATTCCAGTTACTCAGGAGGCTGGGGCAGAAAATCGCAAATTTGAGGTCCAGCAGGGCAACTTAGCAAGACCTTGTCTGAAAGCAGTATAAAAAGAGATAAAGGCATTGCTTAGTGGTAGAGCATTTGCTCACCATGCTCAAAGCTCTTGAGTTCATTTCATAGTATCCCTCACCCATCTAGAAAGATACATCAAGAAGGCAAATTTAACATATAATTTAGGTGAATATAAAGATAGCTTGGTTAAAACAAGTGGTGAGTAGTGAAATCAACATTTCCAGATAGGGAATTAAGTGTGCCCAAGAAAACAGACACAGAAGGACTAAAGGTCATGTTTGTGATTATTCCAGCATCATGCAAAGACACAGCTAGAATGTGGACACCAGGTGTATGAGAAGACATCCCCTTAAGTTTTTAAAAGAACCAAAGGAAATGGGAAGAGGAAGCTGTAATAATTATAATACCACTTTCTGTAGTACCTTACCAATTGTAATATAGCTAACATCAGTATTTTTTACACCCATTTCATTTTACATGAGACATTTGAGGCTTATGACATTAAACAGAATGATTAAAAACCTAGTTAGCAGAGCTGGAGCTCCAGAGCCCAAGCATTGCTCTTCATCAGATTGTGTCTTATGAGAAACAGAACACAGTTGCTGGACTGAAAGCATATGGCTATGCCAGATGCCACCGAATGGGTGTTAAGATGAGATGTGAGAAACATGGCAAGAAAGCTGTGTCTACAGAGAAGGAGACAGATGCAAAACAACCAAAGCAAATAATAGGACACTTGCGGTAGGAGAAGGTGTTTTTAAACTATGAAGAAACTAAGAAGTTGAGTAAACTTGATCTGTGTGACTAGTTAGTGGCACAGGCCCATGATTCTAATCCTAAACCATCTAATTCATCCAAGCTGTTTCCAAAATTAAACATGTTCTCTACACCTTTCTAACAGTAATTGCCTTTGCTGTTATAACAAGATCACAAAAGAATTCAAAACATTACTTTTAACCCATAGCAAAGCATAAGATACACCATCAAGAAGAAACTTAGAGGGTAGGATTTTTACAGAACAAACGTAGGCCCCAGGCCTCTCCCCACCCTCAGGGCTGCAGCTGTGTCTGTTTCTCACGCACACGGCCACGTCTGTCTAGAGAACTGTTACTGACCCAGCGTCAGTTGTTAGTGGCCACAGCTCGGGCTCTTGTCTTCCTTGTCATTGATGTCTCTTCTCGCATGATGTGACCACTAGTCAGCCCAGCCAGCCCTGCTGGCAACTTTAGCTTTTACCTTCGTCACTGTTTTTTTTCTTCCGTATCCAAACAGTCCGGCCTCACTGCCGTGGACATTTGGACGTGACATTGCTGGGGAGGGGGGCTGTACCTTGTGGGATGCTGCTAAGGCCCTCCAGCCTTTTCCAAAAAAAAGAACAGATGTTAGTGCATCAGTGGGAATGGCCCTGTAGAGATGCCCAGAAGCTGGTACAGTGCCAGGGAGACATGACTTGGTTGACATCAGATAATGCTGTAGGCTTGGGTATCACAAGTAATTTGTCCTTTCCTTCTGGTGCTCAGTACACAGACCAGCCAAGTTAGGTATTCCAGTGATGTTAGTTTGAGCCCAAAGGAGCTAAGAAAACAACGTGCAAAGTGTACAGTGTTAACTAGTGTCTATATATCGGCCCTCCCTCTCACGAAGTGCGCCTTGCTCCCTGTCCACAGTGCTACAACTGTGAGGAGGAGGCCATGTACCACTGTTGCTGGAACACGTCCTACTGCTCCATCAAGTGCCAGCAGGAGCACTGGCACGCGGAGCACAAGCGCACCTGCCGCCGGAAAAGATGAAGCCGGCCCGGTCGCCTGCCCGACGAGTACGCCTCAGACACAGCGGTTTTTGTTTCCAAGAAGCCAAAATTGTTTAGAATTTGCTTCCCATTTTGCACCAGCCTTTAAACACTTTTCGTGAAGAAATTTTGCACAGTAGTTTAAATCTTTTGTTAATGCTCCCCTGGAGTTTTTCAGGGGGTAAAAAGTAACATCAGTGGAGGGTATTATTTTAAATAAATTTTAATTGAGAATTTGTTGCATTTTCAGCAAATTTTAAAACATTTTTAGGTTTTACAGAGATTTTAACCTTTAAACAACAGATCTTAAAAAAAAAACAGGTGAATACAAGTGAATTTAACAAAGAAACATTTAGAATAGATCTGAATGTAAGAACTACAGAACTGTTTCAGAATAAAACATACTACCTTGATGTGACGTTTCTTCCTTAACCTTGTTGAGCTGGTCTGGTTCAGCTTAATTCACTGTTCAAAGGCATTATCTGTTGGTCATGCCGGTGGGTATGTGACTGAATTTAGGGAACAGGGTTGACACAGCAGGGCTAGTCCTGCGTATTTTTTCTTAAATATTTCCCAATTGTGTTTTTCATTATTTCTTTTCAATATATAACTTTTATAACAAATTATTAGCTTTGATCTTGTAGTTTAAAATTGCAGGGAACTGGGGTAACCTTTTACTGAGCTGGATCTTAGAGAAAATGATTATTTAAATTTTAAAGTTTGCACATTTCATCTTTGTCCTAACATGAGTGCTTGTAACAAAATAAACAACAAAAAGTAAAACAAAAAGCCAAAAACTACCTTTATCCATACATGAAATTATAGATGAGGCATACAAATTTCTCCAATGCTTCCCTTCCCCTCCCAGATGACCACCCTAACTGCCTATTATCTGGTGTCACTTCTTGTATGTAAGTTAATCCTAAAAGGAAAGAAAGCACTTAAGTTTCACAGAAGCCGTTATGTTTGTAGTAATGGGTCATTGCCTACTAATGAACTCCATCACTATACACAGAATGAAGAATAATGCATGTTAATTTTCTTGTATTAAAGATGCCGTGATTTGTAAAAAGTCTGTATTTTGCGGAATGTCTGGATTAAGAAGCATTACCAATAGGAATGGATCGATAGTTGACCAATGCTGTCTTTATACATAGATATATAAAACACAACCAGGAAAACAAATTACTTTTCTTTAAAAATATCTCACAGTTTATGTTGTTGGGTTTTTTGTTTTTGTTTTTTTTTTTTGGCAAAGACTGACCTTAGACCAAGTCAAATTCCCATTTATCGTTCAGTTATTTTTTGAGGTTAGAGAAATAATTTGTAAATATTTATTTAGACCTTTGATATTTATTAAAGGAATTACTCTCAATGGAAGTGAAAGAATCAGGAGGAAAGCCTTTTAAAAAGTTTTCTCCAGGTTTGTCAGGGTCACTCTAAAGATGAAAGTGTAAGTCAGTCTTCTGTGAAACATCGTCCATCCAGTCCTGATGCTGTCGCAGATGGTGGTGACACAAGTTAATTGACAAACTACTGCCAAACGGTGCACTCTTTGTACAGCCTCCTGGCAGCCCCGTTTCCCGCAGCTTCCCCACCACGTTCCGCAGTGACTCACTCGGTCATCGCCCCTCCTCGCTGCTGTGCAACACGCCAGGGGTGCCGCGGCCCCGGTGCAGATGGAGAGTCAGAACCAAGAACACTTAACCTTCTTTGATTGTTCTTCAAGTTTTAAAACTTCGATCCACCCCTATGAGAGCAAGTTATTGTGGAAATATTTTTGGTGTAAAATCATTCCAGAGTATGTAATATTTAACCGATAGCTGCATGACAGTGAGATTCGTGTTACTTTGGCTTTTTTGTCTCTGTTGACACGGTTGCACATTTCCAAGTTACTACAGTGTGAAAACTGTGTGTTTAAAAAAAAAAACAAAACTAAAAAAAAGAGATTGTGGCCTGGTTTTGTAAAAGTTTTAGGTAAAATTACAACTGATTGTTTTAGGAATCATTATTAAAATTTTCTGCAATCATAAAGCTATATCAAGGTGTTGAGCTTAGCCACTATGCACATTGTAATTATTCATTGTGGCTGTCCAGTTCTATGATGCATTCTGGCATTTTGTAAGCTGCTCTGACTAGCAATATATAGATTCATTTAATGTGTTAACATTGGTTAATAAATGTATTTAAAAAACTGGCTTTGATAAATTGTTAATTTGATCTAATCCCCCGATCCAAACTCAACACAACCCACCTAAACGTTGATGAGATCTGTGAGTTATTCCCTGGTGACTGTTCAGTGTTACAGTCAGTCAGTGTGTTCTGTAGATTACAATCCCAGGTACTTGGGAGGCTGAGGCAGGAGTTTAGGCCAGCGCAAGCAATTAGCAAGGCCCTATCTCAATACAAAATAAAACAAAGACAAAGGAGAAAACAATGTTATACATAATTTGTACACTTAAATATTTCAATTGAATTTACATTTACTAGTTCAAAAATACAGCCTGATGACTTAAAAAGGAGAGGATGAATGTTGTATATGGACTGCTATGTATTGGCCTGGAAAACTGATTCACTGTTCACAACTGAAGAGACTTAACTGGAAAACCGGCTAATGTGTCCTCTTTTGTTTCCACTCATTTGTTGGCAAGTTCGTAGGCATTAGTTTACCGGTACTAAGTTATAGCCCCATCACTAACCCAGCTTCACTTTTCTCTGTATCTGGTTTTCCCCTTTGATGATCTGGTGTGTATGCATCATAACTGGGGTCAGATGTTTAGCACTGAATCTTGCAGTCCCGTTACTGCAGGATTCTGAGGTTGTCAACAGTAATATAGACTGTTCTCTTCACCTTCCTTTTGTCTGTGTCTCAGTTACTTTTCTCTCATTGCTGTTTGTCTCAGCAGTTGCCCAATGCCCAAAGTTAAAGGAGGAAAGGTTTATTTAGCTCACAGTTTATAGAGGTTTGAGTCCATAATCAGCCAATTCTAGGACAGGGTGGCTTAACAGAGAACAGTCCATGGCAGGTGGAAGGTAACAAAATCAACAACCAACCTTAAGAGTGTCTTCCTATCTAGGCTTCTGGGATTAGGGCAGGGCCAAACCTATCAGTGAACTCATCACACACCCGTAACCCATCATCACAAGACTCTAGATTCAGCCACCTCTGAAAAAGCCCTATGACCACATGAGGCTTTGGGGGGGACATCTAGCCTGTCTATAACTCTTGCTGGCTGTGGTTTACTAAGCAACAGTTTTTCAATTTCCTAATTGAAAAACCTCTGTCAGACACCAACTCTGATTCTTAGACCATAAGAATTAAAGTTATTTTCAAAATAGCTTTTTCAGTTAAAAAAAATTAACAAGTAAAAACCAAATCCACACAGGTGTCCCTGAAAACAGTGATCCAAATGAAAAGAAAGACCCCCAGAGAGATGCAGACCAAGTGGGAGTGAGACTATCACTTCTGTAACAGGCAGAGCAGACTGCGTTAGTGGAATTAGAGACTAAAGTAGCTCCTCATTTTCTAGTACTTAGCAAAATGACACAAAGCAAAAATGTGGAAATAGTATACTTGTATGGAAGCCATCTTGTTTTAAGGAAGGAAAAAATTGGCCATTAACAGAGCAAAGCAATAGCCTTGTTCTGACTGCTCAAAGCAGGGTAGATACAAATAGGTAAATTTGGAAGCATTTAGGGGCTTGGGATTTAGCTCAGCGGCATAAGTGCCTTCCTTGCAAGTGTGCGGGCATGAGTTCAATCCCTGGTACCGATAACAACGAAAAAGACAAAAAAAAAAAAAAAAAAATTGGAAGCATTTAATAACTGCCAGACCTGCTCCAGCACTGAGTGGCAGAGCTCAGGTTCAGTTTAAAGCCTTTTTCAACCCTCGTACTAGGCTGAAATATATATATAGAAAGTTACCCACTAAACATTGAAGTCGGTGTCACAGAGTCAGTGCATCAGATCTGTCCTTCCCTGCCTCACCACAGTACCAGTCTCAGTTCTCACCAGAGCACTGGTGCAGTAAGTGAGTCTGCCTTCTCCTTGCCTTCAGTTTCTAATTTAGTGTTTTACAGCTTGATCTCAGGCTCATTTAGAGGACTTAAGTAAAGTAACGCTAAGCCCGTCTGCACTGCTAACAAGTTCTAGCAAAATAGAAGCAGCGGGGCCCTTCCTGGAAAATGTATGTGTTTGTACATATGCAAGATGAACTACACAAAATTGTACACATTCCGAAGTTCCACACTTACTGTGACCCTTGGGTTAAGAATTCCTGGCCTAGTGGCACTGGAGAAGCAAATGTGTTTAGGGACATGAAGGGAGCTGTTGTAACCTAGGTGACTCAGGCTTTCGTGTGTCCGCAAAGCACCTGAGAACCTTGTTAAAATCAGACTCTGACTTGGTGGGGTGAGGGTGGCAAGGGCTGGGGAGTCTGCCATCTCTCATAGATGTCCACGTGACATTGATGCCCTTGCCTAGAGACCACACTTGAAACAAGGTCTTGAGGTGTGTAAATTTATGAAAACTTAAGTACTACTGCACTAAATTATCATCAGTGCAGTTACAGAGAAACACAATGTGAAGCATGTATGTAAGGGCACATTTTCCAACAATCACAGTAAAAAGTGAAAAACAGGTGAAATGCATGCTGATTAGCTTATTATATTCAAAACATTAATAATTTCAATACATAATTAATGAGTTTACATTTATGTTTTGTGCTGTCTTCAAAATCCAGTGTCTTTTATATTCTAAACACATCTCCATTCAGACTCGTCACCCTCATTCACATGTGGCCAGTGGCATCAATATTGAACAGAGTACCCTGAAAACAAGCTTTGTCTTGAGCAAGTACCAAGCCTACCAGCGAATCAGTAGATTCAGCACATAGTCAGTGTGTGCTTACTTACATGGTACCTAGGAGCTGAAGAGAAAGTAACTGACCACTGACCGCTGCCAACTGTGAGGGCAGGCTCTGGCTCTGTGTCGGTGTCAGATTTCAGAGCTCAGAAATCAACCGGTTCTAATCTGGCATTTGCTGAGGGCTCTATAGGGTCCCTTTAAAATGACTATTTAGTCCAAGTCCTTAACCTAATACAGGAGGGACAAATGAGATGCCATCAGTGACAAGGTGGAAGTGCCCTGAGGGAAGGGAAGGGAAAGGTGGCTCTTGTCCTCCCAAGGTGGGCCTAAGAACTAAGATGACATGAACCCCAGTAACAGAAGAAAAGCACTCAAGCTCCTGACGTGGGAGCCCCTCAAGGAATGAAGAGGCAGCTGATGAAACCTACATGCTTTTACACCTGATGGAGCAGAGGCAAGTGCAGAGAAGGACTGAAATCGTACAGCGAGTCTAAAGGAACAGGATGTTTAAAAAAGAAAAGATTTATTTATACAGAATGCTATTGGCTGAGAATCACTACTGAAAAATGTTTCCCTTCTCCTATGGGAAGGGCATTGCTCACTGGGAGTTTTTGTCCCCTTTTTCAAGAGGAAAAGGGAGATTAGAAAGCCCTTGCTGCATCTGCTGTTTTTTTTTTTTTTTTTTAATTTTTATTTAAGGAGAAAAGAAAAGAAAGAAAAAAAAAAACAGTGAAGGGGTACAAGTTATACAGATTTACAGAATAAAAAAAATGCGCAGTAGGAAATCACTAGTTAATGGATTACATATTGTCATCTTAGAAATAATTATTCCAGTCACAAAATTAAAGCTTGTAGAGTGGACATTCCAACAATGATACTACAAACAGTTCTGTTCAATGATCCAATAAAACTCTGTGATATCATTTTCTATCTTATACATTTAAATATACATGCAGTTATATAGTTTAGAGCACTTTCTTTTCCTCTCTTTTGTACAGTGACTATTACACATTTTGGGTTTCATTGCTCCCACGGTTCTTGTTGCTTTTTTGGAAGAGAGTAAAACCAAATGTGACATAACAGAGCAGAATCGGTCAAGTCAAAAGGGTGGACATAATAGATAATATAAAAACATAATACAAGGTGGTCAACAATGGTTACCATAATGCCTCCCGCTATTTCTAATAGAATTGCCTATATCATTAGTTGTAATACAATTGAACAAAACCGTAAAGAATAAAACCGACAAAACCAAAACATTGGAGATATTGTAGGTCTTCAAAAGTAGATAAAAGTCAACGAGAATGGGCGTTATAATGAATCTCATTATCTTCTCAGCTGATGCCTAAACTTTCGAACCTGATACTATCCAGCAAAACAGAATAGAGGAACCTCAGTCAAAAACAAGATGGTGAGAGTAACACAGGGCTTCAAATCGAGATAATAGAAAGTCAAAGTGGGTTACTATATTATATCCTGCTATATTTTTCCCTTTAATTAAATGGATAAAAATAAAAAAGTAAATAATGGAGTGGAGATTGAGAAAAAAGAGGGCATAACAGCGAAACAGGGCAGATCAAAACATAACCATTTAAGCAGAATAGTGTTTCACCACCAGATAATCCTGACCCAAAAATAGTTACCATATTGACTCCCTCCCTGAAGTCCTTGAGTACAACTTCATATACTGTAGCATTAAGTATATCAAAACAATGTAAATCCATTTAAGAGAATGACAGCATTATAGAGTATTTAGAATCAACTAACAGAAAATGAACAATGGTCTCTGTATAATCTCCTTGTCTTTAAAAGGTTTTTTCTTATACTATCGTACATAACAAAATCCAATAAGATACAACCTGTTTAGACCATTGGAGACAGAAGAACAAAAGCTAGATGAGACTTCAAAACAAGATGGTACTAAATCAGCATTACCTATTAAGATGTCATTTTCTCCAAAAAAAGCTGTTCCTATCATCCAATCTTCTCTGTCTCATTTCTGTTGAGCTCTTTTTCTGTCAGTAGCTGTCAGTTTGTCTTCTTCATTTTGTTCTCTGCTCCATTCGTTGTGGCTTCCCCGCCCCTATTTCTGGGTTCTTTGTATTTTTCTTTTTTTAGAATATCCTGCAAAACTTTCTGTAGGGTTGAATTGGTGGTTGCAAATTCCCCCAGTTCCTCTTTATCCTGGAAGCACCACGTTTTTCCATCAATTTCCAGGGACAGTTGTGCAGGATATCTCAATCTTGGCTGGAGATTATTATCTTTCAAAGCTTGAATTATTTCTCCCCATGCTCTTCGTGATTTGATGGTTTGTGAAGAGAAATCTGCTGT